TCGCGCGCGTAAACAGATCGCTGTCGGAGCGAAGATCGCGTGAACGGTTTCTAGATGAGCGAGCAGTCGCGACCACTACCGGGTGTCGTGCTCGAAACGGTCTCTGGTGTCGGAGTGCGGTCGGTGTGGCGCCTCGTTTCGCGTTTCACGCCACCAGGCACCGATCCAAGACACGCGGCGAGGCGGCGCGCGGTCGAGAGACACCGCGTGTGGATCACGAGAGAGCTTCGGATGAGAGAGTAGGTGACAGGAAAAAAACAGGGACGCGAAGCGGTAGCTGGCGAATCGCGTGCGCCAAGCGAAATCTCGCCTAGTCTAGGAAACGTTTCGCGAAGATCCTGTTACCGGATCGCGTAGCGCACACGCGCGAGCAACCGTCTACGCACGCGTGTACGCGAGTACTACGCGGGCTCCATGTATCGGGAAAGTGAACTGCTCGAGATTAATAGGACGAACAGGTACGTTATCGCTCATAAGCAGCCACGGACACTTTGATCGACTCGTGGTAACGTTACGTGGATTTGATCGAACCATAGAAATTAACGATGTGGTAATAATTAGAAGCAACGCTTATTAACTTTCTTATAATCATCGTATTACGCAATTATCGTAGGCGTTATCTATAATTATACGGTAAGATACGATTGTCTGTATCTACTTAACAGCAGACTTATGTAGCGAAATATTATCGTACGTATCTACTTAACAGTAGACTTATATCGCGAAGAATGATCGTCTGTATCTACTTGAGATACGTTCTATCTGTAAGACACGTTTCTGAGATAAAAATTCTCGAATTGAATTAACATAGTGAATCAAGTATTTTTTATTAGATAGAATAATAAACAATGACTCACCGTTGTTATCAGACTGGATCGTCTAACGAATATGAATCTGAGAAAGAAACGATATTCTGGTAAAGTAACAATCTTGCCAACGGAACAAACGATCGATAATAATAACATGTACCAAGCTACAGTAATCTGCTACATCTGGCTCGTTATTATACGCAAAGATAAAGAAAAAACAGCAATTTCAGACTCATTAAGTTTTTAAAGACCTCTCAGTGTAATTTGTCACCTGGATCGCAAACTAGGACTCTTGAGCACTGTGTCGCTACACGTAATCCGCTATGATCCATACCGTTAGGTATTCCATGCAACGTTCGAGTGTCTATAGGTAGAAACAAGGAGGAAAAATTATATTGAAAATTTCCTTTCAGCTGCAATTTCTTTGTACGCGACTAATTTGGCTTGTCAAATTTCTTCATGGGGATATGCGTGTCGATCGAAGAATCGAAAAAGGTTAGTACAGTTTTTCGCCTACATTAAGAACTGGAGCTCTCGAGTAACCGATTGGTAGACGTATTACTATCATCAATACCGTTAGGTATTTCGTGTAACATTTAAATGTTCGCGATGAATAGGGCCCAAAGAAAAAATCAGAGCTCGAAACTTTCGCTAGAAGATAAATGTGCCAGTTCTTTGACATCCTTGCACCATATTTAACGAAAAGGAATCTTTGTTCCTTCTATAGAAAAAATTGAAAATGAGTAGAAAAAGTTGAAAATGTAAAATACAGACACGACGCTGTTATATATCGTTTATATCAAGTACGAAAAAAGTTGTATTCTATCAGAACTTTGAGATCAATTCAAAATATCATCTTGGACTATTTAGTTATAGAACCGTAGTTGTTGTTTACAAAGACGATTAATTACAAGTTGTCCCATGAAATGATCAATCGTTGAAAAATAGATCGTGCCAAATTCTCGACATTCTGATCTAATTTTACATCTGTCCAGCTTAAACAATGAGTCAAGCAATTAAAAAAAGAATACTGTTTTAGGTCCTTTTTTTTATTTTTAGAGCCAACGAATACTTTTGTACGCTCGATGAAGACACCGACTCTGACGATTCACGGAACTCGTATTTAACTCGTCATACAAAATCCAATCAAAGTCGAAGCTAATCGAAACCGTATATCAATCGGCAACAGACACGCCCGTCACTTTCTTCCAAATGAAACACCACTATATCGTTCTTTCTCTTAATCAATCAGGCTTGTATAAATTATTCGGAACAAAGTCCCAAGTGTGATAAGTATGAATAACTATATTTGGTATTCTAAACATTAAGAATCACTTAATTCTCTATAACCAGAATTACATGAATCATCTTATTAACAGGAAAATATTACTGTCGCGATTGATTGGCGCAAATGAAATTTATAAAACGTCGATACGAGCTTATATATAACTTTCAATGTTAGATTAAATAAGGAAAATAAAATTAGATGAATAAGGAGTCAGGTCTAAGTCTAAAGAGTTAGCGCGTTCTCTGGGTCATCTTCGAGTTAACAGTCGTTAAAATATTTCTTAACTTTGAAAAAGCAACTTGTCTGTTTCAATTTCGAGATACAAGGATTTTGTTTCTTTTCAATATTACTTTTAATATTCTTTTTGCATATCGATGCAAGAATAAGATCAGGATATAAGAATTGGAAGATCGCAACAGGGTTAGATGATCAAAATAACAGACGGAGCACATCTTGCTTCTTACTCTGTTTAGAAGAGTCAAACTTTTGCACGAAGCTGTACGAGCATAAGTACATATTTATACACGCAAGACAGCGTGAAATCGCCAGGGGCGTGATCGTGAAGTCAGCGAGTATTCGGCGACCGGCAGTTGGCCAATGATATCGCGATTCTTTCCGTACCATGGACAAGGACCAGCAATTAGATGACAATCAAACCAGGGGAAAAGTATGTCGAAGACTCGGGGGCCGCGCGAGAAACGGGTCAGACCACTGCACCGTCCACCGTGTTTATTATGTTTAACGGTTTTGTAACGAGGCGATTGACGCGGGCCGGAGCGCGTCGAGA